GGGCCCCCACCCTCAAGGTCCCCCTCCCGCCCGGCTCTGGAAGGGGGAAAGGGGTTTAAACTTACATTTTTCCAGCGCTGGGCGGAGAGCTCTCCTCCTCCGATCCTCCTCTTCTCCTCCCATGCGGCTGAATGCGCACACGCGGCAAGAGCTGCGCGCGCATTCAGCCGGTCACATAGAAAAGCATTCATAATGCTTTCCTATGGACGCTTGCGTGCTCTCACTGTGAAAATCACAGTGAGAAGCACGCAAGCGCCTCTAGTGGCTGTCAATGAGACAGCCACTAGAGGATTAGGGGGAAGGCTTAACCCATTCATAAACATAGCAGTTTCTCTGAAACTGCTATGTTTATGAAAAAATGGGTTAACCCTAGCTGGACCTGGCACCCAGACCACTTCATTAAGCTGAAGTGGTCTGGGTGCCTAGAGTGGTCCTTTAAGTGGCATTTCATTCATACAAACAGCAATGGAAGAAGCTGTGTTATGACTAGGGGACATTAAATAAAAGGGAGAGAATGTGAAAAACAACAAGAAATTAACAAAAAATTAGTTAGAATGGAAAATTCACTGGCATAAAATGAAAACTAATAATAAAGTGAAAGTGAGTATTTGACATAAACAGCAAGTGGTTAAATGAAATGGAGGGAGCACCAAAAAGTGCATGAAATGATAAGGATATCATATTAAATAGATATTGAGAGAGCAGTAGGAACATTTTGGAAGAGTCTTCAAGCTTGATAATATTGGACTCTAGCAAAATCCATGGAGGAAGTCAAGTGATTCACAATGTACCAGACATTGTGGTTGTTTTTATGTGGTTTACTCAATGTTTTCCAGGTTGACACAAGTTGGAATCTTTGACTTAATTTAGGAAAGGAATGTATCCATTGAGACCAGAGTGAAGCTGAACACTCTAAAGTTGAGCATTTGAGTCTGACTGCTCTGGGACTTCCTGATGATAGCTATGGTTCTTCAGAACATTGTATGGCCTGGATAGTAGATAATATTAGAAGGCACAGAGAGAGGACTTGGAAGCTCTGGATGACTTATGTCAAATGTTTAGTATTCCTTTCCTTAGATGCTTATTGGCCCCTATGCGGAAGTAAGGAAGTACATATAAATAAACAGGTAGGCAGTTCGCAAATCAGAAACAGACCGACTACTCAAACAATTTTGACAGAAAGTTGTATAATTTTGCTAGTAATAATTTAATATTTATATAACAGGTATGAAAATGGATAATTACTAATGGTATTAATTAAAAGGTAACAATAGAAAAAAATCAACGGTCATGAACCCTAGGTAAAAAAAATGTTTTTACAAATTACTTTTGGAAAAAGTAATACTGTTTGTATCAGGTTTTGTGACTCATATTAGGTATACTTTTTCTGTGAACTAACGTGTAATACTAAATTCTCTAAAATGTCTGGCAATAGATAAATATGAGTAATGTCTGTCTACTAGGCATTCAATACAGTTTACAAGTTAGGTGTTGGACCAGAAACCCATTGTGTAATCCACTTCTTCTGTTTTATTTATATTCGAATTTCCTCAGAGACTATGGGAAATTCAAACAGGTGTGTATTTAAAGGATATATTATACCTGCTGTGATTTCCATCTATCCTCTCATTTTTTGGCTTCAGTCCTAGTGCCTGAAGCTAATAAAGGGTGCTTGCAGTGCTTGAGCATCACGTTGTTCTATATATTAACCCTATTTTCCCAAGTGATTTTACCAATCCTTTCACTTAGTAAATCTGTTGGAAGGAGTTAAATAACGACTATGACAACAGCTACATTTTTTAGTGAAAACAGAATACTATGTACATTCAATGATTTTTTTTACCTTCTTTTGGATCAACCGCAAAAAAACTAATGTGAGGAAGGCTGAACTTGATGGACGCAAGTCTCTTTTCAGCCTATGTAACTATGTAACTATGTAATTATTTATTTTTCAAGTTATCAGTCTTGAACTGTACATTTTAAATAGGGTTATTAGTTATTCCTCATAGTGAAGAGAGCGTGTCTAGCAGAACAAGCTTGTATTTAAGTCCATTCAAGGAACATTCCCATCCACATAACAATTTAAGATCAATTAAGTTGCTTTGTGTGAGTATGTTATTGCCTTCAGTGGTTAAATCTTTTATCAAAAGTGTAATACTTAAAGGGAAACTCCACGCACACAGACCACTTCAGCTAATTGAAGTGGTCTGGGTGCTCCGCCCCTATTGCACTTAGTGTTGCAATGTAAAACATTGCAGTTCCAGAGTTTACATTGCAGCTCTAAGTCTGCCCTCTGTGGCTGTCTACTTTTGGTTTGTTATCTGATGCTGGACATACTCACGGACCTCCAGCATCAGATTTTCCCCATAGGGAAGCATTTACTAATGCTTTCCCATGGGTAGGTCTAATGTGCTATTGCTGCGCATGAGCATTAGGTCTCCCCCGCCAGCTGATGTCAGCGGAGGAGGAGTGTGGGTGGAGACTGACCCAGCACCAAGGGACAGTAGCTGGAAGGGTGGGAGGGGGGCACTGCAGGATTCCTTGTTTTCCTGGCACTGGAGAGTCCCTTTAAGGTGTAAATATGGGCTCTAGTCCCCAGCACATAGAAACATAGAATGTGACGGCAGATAAGAACCATTCGGCCCATCTAGTCTGCCCAATTTTCTAAATACTTTCATTAGTCCCTGGCCTTATCTTATAGTTAGTATAGCCTTATGCCTATCCCACGCATGCTTAAACTCCTTCACTGTGTTAACCTCTACCACTTCAGCCTGCTTCCAGGCTTTCATTCCTCTCTGATTTGCACTAAGAGGAAGGGGTTAGCTGGACACCACTGATGGGATGAGTGAGTGAGCTCTCAGCAGGTATGCCCACTGAGATGCCCACTGAGAAAAATAGTACATAACAGTTTAACCCCTACAGTTAAGAACACACCTAGATACTTCTGTCCCCCGTTACAACGTAATGAGCTTAAACTATTATGTAGGTGGGAGTGTTCCTTTAATTCCTTGATCTTTCCAATATCAGTTTTTAGTTTCTAAGGAAGTGCATACATATTGCTTTGCAGATTTTGTTTTTATTTTTTTATTTTTGCAGATTATTATTTAATAATATATGCAAATATATCTAATTGTACATATACGTATATTAATATTTTATATGCATGTTAAGCATTTTTTTTTAAAAAAAACCCATTGGCAGTTTGAGAAATTATTTATTTTTATTGTTGTAAATTATTACAGTAAGCATGTTTGGCTTTTGATGATTAAATACTTGAAAAATGTGTTCTTAAAAACTATTGCTGGTTTTCTGTTTTGATAGAAACTGCATTGAATTGAATTTTTTTATGTCATATAGCCTGCTGATAAAAATAATGTCATTCATATTTTCTTGGAAATATTTGCTAGGTTATCCAACTCGTTTAACTAACTCACACTCACTGTTAAAGGACCACGAAAGTAGCCCAGACCACTTCATCTCAATTAAGTTGTCTGTGTGCAGGGGTACTTTAGTTTTAACACTGCAATGTAAAATATTTCATTTTTTTTTTTTTTTTAAATGTAAATCCTAATTCAGGTTTAAATCCTCCTTTAGTGGTTGCCATCCTGATAGCCATTTATTTTGCTTCTGCAGCACTGACAGAGTAAAACTCACCCATGCTACACAGAAGCTCATAGGAAGCATTACATTTAATATTTTTCTATGTGATTCATTTGGGTGTAGGCAGTAAACGTAAGTAAAAACTTTTTTTTTTTTACTGGAAAGAGGGGGTGGGAGTGGGACCTAAAACAAACCTGTAAATAGGATACTATAGTGTTAGGAACACAGGTTTGTATTAAATTCTGCAATGCTTTTCGAAATGTCTGGATTTTAGACGGTGTATTAATGTAATCAACAAAGTCAAAGCATTATCCCACCAGACATTTCCTTTAGCTCTATACATAGCATAATCATTGAGGTAGGTTATGGTGATTTAGTTTATTTTTCTCACTAATTGAGGACGGGTAATTGCATGCATTCTCTTACTAAGGGATTTGGATGAGTGTTTAATTGGTCATTAATGAGTTTAAAGTAAATGTTTAAAATTAGACTTTACTATGGCAGGAAAATATAGTTAGGTTGAATCACTTCATCCAAATTTTTTTAGTTCTGGTTGTCTGGTATTTGGCTCAGTATTATTTTATTACTATTTTATCATTTATATAGTGCCAGCAAATTCCGTAGCGCCGTACAATGCAAAATCCATGCAAAATATTCTGGGAAAAGATTCAGACAAGCCAAGAGGGTGGGATAAAAGGCAACTATTTTAGTGTGTTGCAATACAAAAATTAATACAATGCTGTCCAGTCTAACGGCTAAATTAAATTACTGGAATATTAATGTGGAAATTAAAATTATATATCTGCATTAAAAATAAATAAACATGTATATTAATTTATTTTAGAATGTTTGTTTATTCCTTTTACAATCATCTATTATTATTATTGAACAATGGAAAACAGGAGTAATTTTACATTGATAAAATGTAATAAAAAAAAAAAAAAATAAAGGTAAAAAGTCAGTGGGCAATGGATAACCCACTCACTAATTGAAAAAAAAAAATGGATAGGAAGGGTGAAATGCAAGTGTGGCTTATCAACTGCAATCTTACTTTTCCCTTTAATTTATTTTTTTAACATCCCCTTTATGCAAGTTTACTCCTGCTACTGTTCTGCCTTTCATCATAAAAGTTTCATGCTGCCTGGCTGAGTCTTGTGGTGTGACTACTAATGCTACCTCCATAGACTCACGTGGTTGAAACTGATGATAGGGCACTGTTTTTTTCCACACTGAAGTACTGTCGCTCAAGCTACAGACTGGATGTTTAGGAATGTTTTCTTCTTCTTTAGGTGGTAGGGGTAAGTCGGTCATCAATAGCCCACTCACTTTTTCCTGAGAAAAAAAAATGTGGAATAAAAACAGTGCCCTATCAGCTTTCTTCCAAATGGTTTCTACACACACACACACACACACATCATCCAGCACACACACACACATCATCCAGCACTCACACACCCATCATCCAGCACACACACACACCCATCATCCAGCACACACACACACCCATCATCCAGCACACACCCATCATCCAGCACACACACACCCATCATCCAGCACTCACACACCCATCATCCAGCACTCACACACCCATCATCCAGCACACACACACCCATCATCCAGCACACACACACACACACACACATCATCCAGCACTCACACACCCATCATCCAGCACTCACACACCCATCATCCAGCACTCACACACCCATCATCCAGCACACACACACCCATCATCCAGCATACACACAACCACATCATCCAGCACTCACACACCCACATCATCCAGCACTCACACACATCATCCATCACTCACACACCCATCATCCAGCACACACACACATCCAGCACACA